GATTTACCAAGCTAATGGAAAGCAAAAAAAAGCAGGAGTTGCAATTCTCATCTCTGATAAAATAGACTTTAAAGCAACAAAGATCAAAAGAGACAAAGAAGGCCATTACATAATGGTAAAAGGATCGATACAACAAGAAGAGCCAACGATCCTAAACATATATGGACCCAACACAGGAGCACCCAGATACATAAGGCAAGTTCTTAATGACTTACAGAAGGACTTAGACTCCCACACAATAATAGTGGGAGACTTTAACACTCCACTGTCAATACTAGACAGATCAACCAGACAGAAAATCAACAAGGATACCCAGGGCTTGAACTCAGACCTGGAGCAAGCAAACCTGGTGGACATTTACAGAACTCTCCACCCCAAATCCACAGAATACACATTCTTCTCAGCACCACATCACACCTACTCAAAAATTGACCACATAATTGGAAATAAAGCACTGCTCAACAAATGCAAAACAACTGAAATCATAACAAACAGCCTCTCAGACCATAGTGCAATCAAGTTAGAACTCAGAATTCAGAAACCGACCCAGAACCGCACAGCTTCATGGAAACTGAACAACTGGCTCTTGAATGTTGACTGGGTAAACAACGAAATGAAGGCAGAAATAAAGAAGTTCTTCGAAACCAATGAGAATGAAGACACAACGTGCCAGAACCTCTGGGACACATTTAAAGCAGTCTCTAGAGGAAAGTATATAGCAATAAGTGCCCATATGAGGAGAATGGAGAGATCCAAAATTGACACCCTATCGTCAAAATTGAAAGATCTAGAGGAGCAAGATCAAAAAAACTCAAAACCCAGCAGAAGACAAGAAATTACTAAGATCAGAGCTGAGCTGAAGGAGATTGAGACACGAAAAACCCTTCAAAAAATCAATAAATCCAAGAGCTGGTTTTTTGAAAAGATCAACAAAATAGACAGACCACTAGCCAGATTGATTAAAAAGAAAAGAGAGAACAACCAAATAGATGCAATAAAAAATGATAAAGGGGAAATCACCACAGATTCCACAGAAATTCAAACCATCATCAGAGAATATTACAAACAACTCTATGCGCATAAACTAGTAAACCTGGAAGAAATGGATAAATTCCTGGACTCCTGTGTCCTCCCAAGCCTAAACCAGGAGGAAGCTGAAACTATGAATAGACCAATAACAAGGTCTGAAGTTGAGGCAGCAATTAAGAGCCTACCTCACAAAAAAAGCCCAGGTCCAGATGGGTTCACAGCCGAATTCTACCAGACACACAAGGAGGAGCTGGTACCATTCCTTCTAAAACTATTTCAAACAATCCAAAAAGAGGGAATCCTTCCCAAATCATTTTATGAGACCAACATCATCCTGATACCAAAACCCGGCAGAGACCCAACGAGAAAAGAAAACTTCAGGCCAATATCCATGATGAACATAGATGCAAAAATCTTCAATAAAATATTGGCAAGCCGATTGCAACAGCAAATCAAAAAACTTATTCATCATGATCAAGTAGGATTCATCCCAGGGATGCAAGGCTGGTTCAACATACGCAAGTCTATAAACGTAATTCACCACATAAACAGAACCAAAAACAAAAACCACATGATTATCTCAATTGACGCAGAGAAGGTATTTGACAAAATTCAACAGCCCTTTATGCTAAAAACCCTCAATAAACTCGGTATCGATGGAACGTATCTCAAAGTAATAAAAGCTATTTATGACAAACCAACAGCCAATATCATACTGAATGGGCAAAAACTGGAAGCATTCCCTTTGAAATCTGGTACTAGACAAGGATGCCCTCTCTCACCACTCCTATTCAATATAGTACTGGAAGTTCTAGCCAGAGCAATCAGGCAAGAAAAAGAAATAAAGGTATTCAAATAGGAAAGGTGGAAGCCAAATTGTCTCTATTTGCAGACGACATGATAGTGTACCTAGAAGACCCCATTGCCTCAGCCCAAAAACTCCTGAAACTGATAAACAACTTCAGCAAAGTCTCAGGATATAAAATCAATGTGCAAAAATCACAAGCATTCGTCTACACCAATAACAGACTTAAAGAAAGCCAAATCAAGAGCGAACTGCCATTCGCAATTGCTACAAAAAGAATAAAATACCTTGGAATACAACTCACAAGGAACGTAAGGGACCTCTTCAAGGAGAACTACAAACCACTGCTCAACGAAATCAGAGAGGACACAAACAGTTGGAGAAACATTCCATGTTCATGGTTAGGAAGAATTAATATCGTGAAAATGGCTATACTGCCCAAAGTAATTTACAGAATCAACGCTATCCCCATCAAGCTACCATTGACTTTCTTCACAGAACTGGAAAAAACCACCATGAACTTCATATGGAACCAAAAGAGAGCCCGCATAGCCAAGTCAATTCTAAGCAAAAAGAACACAGCGGGGGGCATCACACTACCGGATTTCAAACTATACTACAAGGCTACAGTAATCAAAACAGCATGGTACTGGTACCAAAACAGAGATATGGACCAATGGAACAAAACAGAGGCACCGGAGGCAACACAACATACATACAACTATACAATCTTTGATAAACCTGACAAAAACAAACAATGGGGCAAGGATTCCATGTTTAACAAATGGTGTTGGGAAAACTGGCTAGCCATGTGCAGAAAGCAGAAACTGGACCCCTTCCTGACACCTTACACTAAAATTAACTCCAGATGGATTAAAGACTTAAACATAAGACCTGGCACCATAAAAACCCTAGAAGGAAATCTAGGCAAAACTATCCAGGACATAGGAGTAGGCAAGGACTTCATGAACAAAACACCAAGAGCATTGGCAACAAAAGCCAAAATAGACAAATGGGACCTAATGAAACTCCACAGCTTCTGCACGGCAAAAGAAACAGTCACTAGAGTAGATCGGCAACCAACAGAATGGGAAAAAATTTTCGCAGTCTACCCATCTGACAAAGGGCTGATATCCAGAATTTACAAACAACTCAAGCAGATTTACAGGAAAAAAACAAACAAGCCCATTCAAAAGTGGGCAAAGGATATGAACAGATACTTTACGAAAGAAGACATATATGAGGCCAACAATCATATGAAAAAATGCTCATCGTCACTGGTCATCAGAGAGATGCAAATCAAAACCACATTGAGATACCATCTCACGCCAGTTAGAATGGCGATCATTAAAAAATCTGGAGACAACAGATGCTGGAGAGGATGTGGAGAAAAAGGAACACTTTTACACTGTTGGTGGGAGTGTAAATTAGTTCAACCATTGTGGAAGACAGTGTGGCGATTCCTCAAGGCCTTAGAAATAGAAATTCCATTTGACCCAGCAATCCCATTACTGGGTATATATCCAAAAGACTATAAATCGTTCTACTATAAGGACACATGTACACGAATGTTCATTGCAGCACTGTTTACAATAGCAAAGACCTGGAATCAACCCAAATGCCCATTGATAATAGACTGGATTGGAAAGATGTGGCACATATACACCATGGAATATTATGCAGCAATCAGAAATGATGAGTTCGTGTCATTTGTAGGGACATGGATGAATCTGGAAAACATCATCCTCAGCAAACTGACACAAGAACAGAAAATGAAACACCGCATATTCTCACTCATAGGTGGGTGATGAAAAATGAGAACACATGGACACAGAAAGGGGAGTACTAAACACTGGGGTCTATTGGGGGGAAAAGGGGAGGGCCAGTGGGAGGGGGAGGTGGGGAGGGATAGCCTGGGGAGAAATGCCAAATGTGGGTGAAGGGGAGAAGAAAAGCAAAGCACACTGCCATGTGTGTACCTACGCAACTGTCTTGCATGCTCTGCTCATGTACCCCAAAACCTATAATCCAATAAAAAATTAAAAAAAAAAAAAAAAAAAATCAAATTAAGAAATGTCATGTGATTTATATTAAAAGCACTTTGGAACATATATTATTTCTATTTCCTCCTTTACATTCAACTTTTGCTTTATCGAAGGAGTACTTGTTGTTTAAACTGTTAAACCATAAGTCCAGAAATGTGCATAATATTGATTTATTTTTTACTGATGAAGATTTCTCTGAGGACATTACATATGCTATAATTTTTAGACTTAATGGGCACTCTACCGTTCTATAACACTGAAAACAAATAGTAGTGGTCCCCGCCTACACAAACCCTGCCCTAATTCCTGCTTCCTGAAGGCAATGACACAGCTGTTTCTTCTCCATATTTACCTCCATATTTTCAAATAAAATACTTGTTTTGCTATTTCTTGTTGTTTTTTATTTAATTGAGAAGTTATTTGCTGACTTTCTAATATGGAAGACAAAATTTAGAGCTCCTCCATCACACTTCACCTGCCCCATTCTTCCACCAGAGATACAGCATGATGCTTACTCAGATTATTATATAAATATGCTTCACAGCTGAGCCAGTACCTACAATAGATAATGTTTCTTGGCTGTGACAACTTTGTGTCTTCCTGAAGTTAGCGTTTATCTTGTTTTCTCAGCATCTTAGGCTTCCCTTGCTGCCAGGCTAGGTTTCCATTTTCTCCTTCTGGGTAAGTCTACAGTCCATCTGTTTTCTAGATTCTAATGTTTTGTGGCTGTCATATTCTCTGTTTTCTGGTCCATATAGCTTTATGCAATCGTATCCCTTTATTGTCTCTTGAGTGGTATTTCAGGAAGTGAAGGCAGACACATGGGTTCTGTTGACCACCATGTTAAGGAGCGGCACCTCCCAGTATTACTAACTGATCTTGGCACAGAAATCTGCGGGGGGGAGGCCAGGCCAGAAGGTGAGGGGCATTCCCCATTAGGGCAAACCAGGCATCTTGACCTGTCTTCTAACACCACTGAGGCCTCACTCAGCCACACCATCACTCCCTGGTTTGCACAGATCCTATTTCTCTTGTAATTTTGGAGAAAACATTTATTTTAAAAAATAAATTAACTTAATGAATTGAGAAGAAGGATGAGGGCCCATGGTCCTCACACCTACCTTCACTGCACTGAAGCAGACTGGGTGAAGCAGGGCGGCAGCCAAGATGCTCCTGGCCACGCTGTAAACAGCTGAGGTTATCCCAGAAACAGCTGGAAGACACACAACAACAGTTCTTTTCTAGACTGGCCATTCTTACAGTAAACAAATGTAAAACAGTGAAGAGAAGGTTGCACATTCACATACAAGACGCCTGCTGAAGAGGCAGAGAATACATCTATGGGATCCATCAAAAGGCTCTGGGTGACTTGGGGGATGGGGGTACAAGAAAGAGGCTACCATTTAACTAAAAATTTAAGAGGAAAGTATTTAGAAATAATGCTTTACAATGTTCTTAAAAGGCTAAGTGAATGTGTCAGAAGAAGGTAGGGAGACCTCACGGTTTACAGTTGAAAGCTGCTGGCCAAGGAAAAGATCCTGGATAGCAATTTCAATCGAATAAAGAGAAAGGAAGAGGAGGGAGGGAGAAGAAAGGAAGGAGGAGACAGGAGACAGGAGAGGGAACAAGCAAGTGTCCCCACGTAGTGTGTGTGTGTGTGTGTGTGTGTGTGTGAGAGAGAGAGAGAGAGAGAGAGAGATGGGGGTGGTAACAGTGATTGCATTATGCACATGATTTCATTTACTCCTTATAGAAATCCTATGAGGTCATCATGTTTATTTCCATTTAGAGTAGAGAAGAGCAGGCTGAAAACAAGCAATTTACATCACACAATGAGATTATATCCACCTTGGTCTGAATCTAAAGTATGACATTAAAAGGGTCAAAGTGATGGTTTGGGGATACAGGTCACCTGTCTCTACAGGTACACACACAATACACAGCACAATGTCAACCCATAGGCTCACACTGATGCACTCCCAGACTTGAGTATGTATGTGCTCAATTATATACACATACGCACAAACACACATACACACACTTATAGCCACTCACACATGCTCACCACACATTCACACAGAGTGTTTTTAAAGGAATAGTTTGAAGGGCATCAAACCTATTCCAAATCGCAGAGAATTTCACCCTTACTTCTGTGCTTATGCTCAACCAAGTTAAGTGGACAACTTCCTATGTAGTTACAGGAAATCTGGACAGGCCCATCATCACCCAGACTGATCCAAACTGAAGTCGTTTAAATGCTCAGGACAAAGAAAATCTAACTGTCTAGCCTCTCATCTCCTGCCCAAGTCTATTCAGTCCTTATCTGAACTCTAGAATCCTTTACAGAATAGAATGTAAACGACTTACCAGAACCGCCAAAAAACAGCATGTCAACTTGCTCCAAAAGATAAATGCAGAAAGTGTTGATTTGCGGGAAGAGCCCAAGGAGGGAAATAGCAGGGAAGCAATATAAAAATACTGAAAATGAACAAACAAAATCAATGATAAGCATATGGGAACTGTGTTGCCAAGGCTCCTGCTGCAGTGCTGTCTCTCTCCCCTCCCAAACCACCCCACTCAGGAATTCTGGAGGCAATCTTAGATTTCTCACCCAGAGGAAACTGGAGGCTGAGATGGAAATGTGCCTGTGGATGCAACAAGGAGCTGATCCTGAGAGGTACTGATGAAAGGAATGCACACAAGCCCTGGACTGAGCAAAGACCTCAGGGGTGGTGAGTGAGAGTAGAATCATCTTCAGTTCGAAAGAGGAGACTTGGACGTGTGGGAGATGAGGGCAAGAGAAAGGAAACTAGGAAAACTATACGAACATAAAAAGACACAGGACAGGCTAAGTGTGGTAGCTTACGCCTGTAATACCAGCACTTTGGGAGGCCAAGGTGTGCATATCACCTGAGGCCAGGAGTTTGAAACCAGCCTGGCCAACATGGCAAAACCCTACCTAAAAAATATAAAAATTGGCCAGTTGTGGTGGGCACTTGTAAGCCCAGTTACTTGGGAGGCTGAGACAGGAGAATCCCTTGAACCCAGGAGGCAGAGTTGCAGTGAGCTGAGATCCTGCCACTGTACTCCAGCCTGGGCAACAGAGCAAGACTCTATCACAAACAGAAAAACACAGGATAGTAATTATGAGGATCTCTTCCTGCATGCGAGAGGGTAGCAAAAAATTGGGGCCAAGGGGTCTCCTTGCTTTTCACTTCTGTAACCTCAAGCACTTGAGTAACTCAGAGTCTATTCCATCCTAAATACCAACTGGAAACTTATAGTTAGCTGAGGGTCTCAAGTAGGAACTACCTGACTGCAGCCCATGGTGATGATGTGACCCTGATTCTAGCGTAGATGGATCACTTGGTAGATAAAGGTGCTCTTGGCTGAGGAGAGGGAGGCTGTGTTATTTCCCATCAGAATGATGCAATTGCACAACTGGAAAAGACATTTATAGTTTATAATTCAGTGTTTCAGAGAACTATTTTGTTAGAGGAGGAAAAATATAGTAGAGCTGCGTTTTAGAGCAACTTTCCTATCATCCCCTCTTGCTTAATTCTACTGAAGCTGGGTTCATAGAAACACAGAAACTCCCATTAGCAGTGCCATAATACATCTGTCTTCCTTCCTGTCTCCGATTATTAGGTCATCTGTCAATGAAGTTTGGTACTGCTAAACCTTAATAAAACTAAGGAAATTTGATTTGAAATTCAATATGCCTGGACATTGGAACTATGCCCTAAAATGTGCAGAAACCACAGTGAACAATGGGAGGAGGATGGTAAGTGAGGGTGTTTCTGCTATTTCTGAAAAATGGGAAATGTTAACTTCCTATAGTGAAGTTGTAAGGATGAGAGTCTTTGCACAACTCATTCTCTGAATGTTTGATTAAAATAGTTAACATTATTGGGTTATTTAAAATAGGCACAATAGCACCTTTGGCCATAAGATGGTAAACAACGTCAGGTGGACTTAGTTCTTGCTTCTCTCTTGTCCTTTTTCTGAAATGCTCCTTGTTTTGGGTTGAATTCTGTTTTCACAAAAGAGGTTTAAGTTCTCTTTTTAAAACTTGTTATACCTGAGTAATGAACCTGCACGTTCTGCACTCTTCGTGGAAGTAAAATTTAATGTCATCAACATGGTTATCTTTGATAACAGGGGCTGTGCTTGGAGTTGGAGCCATATTTTGATACATGTGGTAATTTTGTTGTGATCATTTTTGTGCCAAGATTTCAACTATATTATAAAAAAGTAGAGCACCTGAAAGTTGTTTATTTCTCAATCAAAGCAGACAAAAAGGTACAAATACTGATATGCTAGACATAACTATATAAGATATAATTTCTTTTTCAGTTTCTATAAATGGAGAGATATAAGAAATAAATAGAAATTTAATTACAGAACATATAGTCATAAGCACAGAAATTTTAAACCATAAAACTTCATACAATTTCAAACAAACTGAGAAGAACTTCTCTCTACTTTGGGGTCAAAAAACCCAGCAACGACAATTTTGTTCTATGTTATATCTGCCAATTCGGGATCGGGGCAGAGGGAAGGTCCAGTGAGATCTATTATTTACCTTTCAAAACACAGTATCCCTGTGTGACAAAAACTACACCAAGAATGAAGAACTACAGGGAAAAGCTTAGGTATGGAATATTAAAGGCAAAGTCAAATCTTGGGAGCTATTTGGTAAATCAAGGATAAAGAGGTATTCTGTATAAGAAATTCATTAGCTAATTCAACAAAACCTAGGGAAGTGAAAAGAATTGGAACACAATGAAAAATGGCATGAGGAAAATAAAATGGTAGGAAGTACCCGAAAGTCGTCCCTGGAGATGCTCTGGCTGTGGGTGTAGAATTGGAACTTAATGCAACAATACAGGAAGAACAGCAGTCAACAGGGAGGCCCAGGCACTAGCTCTTCTCCGAAACATATTGGAGGAGGAAAGCTCTAGTCTTTAAAATAAATGTCGTGGAGGTGGAACGGGAGGAAGATGGAATCCATGTGTCTCATCTGTCAGGTTGCAGTGAACGTGAAGGAAACAGCAGCCAAATGCTTGCTATGTTACCAGGGCTTTAGGAAAATGACACTTGAAATTGCTGAAATTATTTTGTCCTTTTTTTACAGAAGTAAAAAATTAAAAAGTCTTTGTGCTGTTCACAATTTTTCCTGTGGACAAACTTTTTCTGTTGTTAGCATACCACTGAGCGCATCTATACTTTTCTCTCACTTCTTCCTAACTTCTTATTTTCCTTAATAATTATAGTCAGTGCAGAAACTTCTGGCACAGTTCCATTTCACAAATAAGCAAAATTCATAAATAAAAATATTGTGGCTTAAGCTTATTTCTTTTATCAAATGTAAGTGATAAATATTACTGCATATAGATGCAGGTTTGGGGGACAAGCATGCAGAATTAAAATGCCACAGAAATAAAACTAAAGCCTAGGAATTCAATGTGAATGTCTTCAATGTGCCCTACCTGTATATTAACTAAGTGTCCTCATATGGACAACTGAGGCCAAGAAGCGAGCCTGTAAACAAGACATAGAAATGGGACATCTGGGTGTTTAGGGAAGGATAAGTAAAATCCAGTGATTAGTTTTAAAACTTCCACTCATCTCCAGAGTTACAATCTCCATCATTGCAGATGGATTATTGTTGGCAGGGATTTATAAACCTAAGGACCAAAAATAAAGCATAAAACTCCCAGATCTGAGAAAAACGAAAACAAAAAACACAGAGCAGAGGCCAATGGATAAAGCACCCATCCAGTGCCTGGACCCGGGCTGGATGGTCTGGCTATTTCATGTTGCCTCAAGTTGTCCCATGCCAGAGAACTCATTTCACTAAGCAACCTACTCTACTGTAGGGCAGCTCTAACCCAAACGGTTCTACTGGCTTCTTTGTACTGAGCTGTAATCCACCTTCCATCTTCTGGAACTAGAATAAAGTCCCTCCCCTTCAACCTGGCAGCATTTTAAGGATCCGAAGCTATTGTGTGTGCCTCTAGCACTCAGGTGTTTCTTCTCTGAGTTGGACACTCTCAATTCCATCACCCAGTTTCCAGAACTCATATAGGCCATGTGAATACACACCCCTCTGGGCACACTCTGACATTGTTACTGCTCCTTTTGAAATATGGTACTAAGAATCAAAGACCTCTTGTCTTTCTCATTCATAGGATAATTTCAAAGCCAGTCTCACTCAGAGGCTTTTGCTGAAGTTACCCGAATGGAAAGTAATGTAAATTCTAGCCAGAGGTGACCAGTCTCTGACTGAGCGCAGGAAATGAGTGCGGACTAATAACTTTCACCTTATTCCTGGGAATGAAAATAAAGAACTTATTTTCCTTATAATGAAAGGAAAAGTGCACAGAGTAATATTCTGAACATATATGAGGAATCATAAAAGAAAAAGAAATTACATAGGAATATTATCCTGTGTTTCTATCTCCTTAATTCACCTGAATTTCTCCTCCTACTGTTCTATGATCTGACATTCCCTTCTTCCTTTGAGATGCTTCTCTCCTTGCATTATACATGACAAGGAGTTTCTCCATCCTTCCCACCTGCCCCATGTCCACCTGACTTATCTCATACCACTGGCTCAGGCATTCAGTCCCTTCGGCACAAGGAGGTAGAAGGAGCTGCTGATAGTGGACTGCCCTCACACCTTGTCTGTCTGTCTCCTCTGCTACCTCCTCCTGCTCTGACAGGGTGATGGTTTCTAAGCAGAAACCAGGAGCGGCAGTGGGTAACCGATACATCACCAGTAAGGCACTGCTCTAAGAAATACTCCGTGTCCCCTAGCACCTGCCAGAAGAGGACCACTTGCACCCAACACAGCCTGAGAAGCACAATAAGTCTATGGGAAACAATGTCACATGGACTTAGTTCTTCCTTGTCCCTTGTCCTTTTTCTTCAACGCTCCTTGTTTTCGATTGAATTATGTTCCCACAAAAGATGTGGAAGTTCTAACTCCAACATTATGAGCTGAAGGAGCTCGTAATGTGATCTTGTTTGGAAATAGGGTCTTCGCAGATAACTGAGTTAAGCTGAGGCCCTTAGGGTACATCTGGGCCCTAATTCAGTATGACTGGTGTCCTTATGAAAAGGAAAAATTTGGACACAGAGGCAGATGTGCATAGAGGGAAGACCATGTGAGGACACAGGAGAAGAATGTCATCTTCAAGACAAGGAGAGACGCCTGGAACAGGTCCTTCTCTAGCGCTTTCAGAGGGAGCATGACCTGGACAACACCTTGAGTTCGGACTTCTGGCCTCTAGAACTGCAAGACAATAAACGGCTGTTGTTCTAAGCCACCCAGTGGGGAGTGCTTTGTTTCAGCGGCTCTAAGAAGCAAATGCTATGAAGCCAATGGGAATGTATATATTGTGTGTCTTCCATATGCCCTGCCTATGTATTAACTAACCGTTCTCAGATGGACTACTGAGGCCAAGAAATAAGCTTGTAAACATAGAGATGGGTCATCTGGGTGTTCAGGGAAGGGCAAGTACAATCCAGTGATTGGTTCTAAAACCTCCACTTATCTCCAAAGTTACAATCTCCATTGTTGAAGATGCACTATTGTTGGCAGAGATTTATAAACCTAAGGACCAAAAATAAAGCATAAACCTCCCAGGTCTGAGAAAAACAAAAAGAAAAAACACAGAGCAGAGTCCATTTGATAAAGCACCCATCCAGAACTTGGACCTGGGCTATAACTGATGGCCATTTCATCTTGCAAACGCTTCCTAGAGCCACTGCACACTTCTTTTGCCTCCTGATAACTCTTTTTCTCCTAATGCTTTTCTTTTCTCCTTGCTAGTTCCTCCATATAGCAATGGCAGCAGATATAGACTACTTACACGCCTTACTAGTTGAGGGAATAGAGAGTGAAGAAGTTCCACAAAAAAGAAATGACTTTAAATTGCCCTTGTATTCCCTCATAAAGTCAGAAAAGTAGTGTAAGCTTCTATCTCTTTCCTTTCTCTCCTGTTTGTTCTAAATTTGTTTCACAACCTTTTCCTTCTCAGTGCAAATTAGTATGTTTAACACATTCATTCCATAGGGATTGCTATTGTTCTATTTATCTTTACCCCAGAAGTTATTTCATCGGCTTGCTGGATTATTTATCACCATTTTTACTTGTCACTGTTGACAAGGAAACAAAAATATATATTAGGCAGAAGCTTGAATCAGGGAAAGAAAATTCCAGTGAAAAAGATAAGAATGTTCCCTCTCCAATCCCTAATGAAATTGATTTTAAAAATAAAATACAGTGAGAATATGCATAGCTAGTAGGACATGCTAGGATGAGGGTTACTGCTAAAAGTAAAATCTTAGGCTTTTACCAATTATTTAAGACAACAAGGTCTTCCCTTTTAAGCTTTAATAACATCTCACATCCCAATGCCATTGTAAGTTTGCCACACTTAGACAGCTACACTTATTCCACAGAGCTGAGATTTTTATAGTAGCAAATAAAAATTCTAAAAACCAGGAAAGAAGGAGAGACCCATGCACAGAAAAGCAATTTCTAAATGGAAGACACATCATGCTCTTCGTGCCCCAAATCTTTCTACAGATTATTGGCAAAAAGCACTCATTAAGTCCCTACTTATTCTAAGGGCTTAGTTAAACGGTCCAAATGGACTATAGCCTTCTCTGACTTATGAATGGGAAGTATTCCAAAAGTTATTTGTACATTCATCTCCTTAGTACTTAAAACAGATTTTTAGCCACACATGGTGACTCACACTTGTAATCCCAGCACTTTGAGAGGCTGAGGCGGGTGGATCACCCAAGGTCAGGAGTTCGAAACCAACCTGGCCAACATGGCGAAACCCTGTCTCTACTCAGAATATAAAAATTAGCTAGGTATGGTGGCATACGCCTGTAATCCCAGCTACCTGGGAGAAGGAGGCAGGAGAATCACTTGAACCCAGGAGGCAGAGGTTGGAGCGAGCTGAGATCATGCCACTGCACTCCAGCCTGGGCGACAAAGATAGACTCCATCTCCAAACAAACAAACAAAAACCCCACAGACTTTTATGTTCATTAATTCATCCTTTCAACAAGTATTTATTTAGTGCCTATAAATGCTAAGGATTCAATGGTAAGAAAGCAGGCAGGGTCTCTGCCTTCTCTGAGCTAATAAGCTAGTGAGAGAGGCATTATTTCAATATCACAGATGTGAGCAGATTGCTACAAAATGGGTTATGGACTATGAAAAGTGTGGGTAGTGAGAGGATAGACAAGGGGGTGAAACTTAGGGAAATGAGGTATTATGAGCCAGCATGGTGAAGGGCGGGGGAGGCCGCAGAACAGCTTCTGAGCAGAAGGAACACAGTGTGTGAGAAGGAGATGAGAAAGGGCCACAGTAGTTATGGCTCCACCTCAAGTCACAAATCCCTGTGATTTGTAAGAGGTGGCACTCTATAGACACTTAACCTACACTCAAGATCCCAGGAAAAGATGACCTCATGGGGGTACCCAGGATGGAGTATGGAGTGCAGAGAGAGAAAAGGCAACATTTTGACATAGACAATTGTTTCATGGACACCTTCCAAAATTATTTTATGCTTTCTCCTTCTCTAATCTCCAGGTCCTTGTGTGCCCTTGAGCTGTGGACTCCAACACTGCTGTTTGCAAAAAGATGACAAGAAAGGATGGCCCTCCAGAGTGTGCAATCATGAGTGAGCGTCTCTGTCTACTCAAACTCTGACTTCTTCACTGAAGCCAATTTAGTGAGGAATATGGGTGAGCTAAGTTATAAAGTAACAAGAATGATGTAAGATCTTTCTTAGTGTGTATGTGTCTGTTCCAACTGATAGGACTGAAAAAAAGGAAAGTAAAAAATATCAGGCTGGGCGCAGTGGCTCACGCCTATAATCCCAGCACTTTGGGAGGCCGAGGTGGGCAGATCACAAGGTTAGGAGATAGAGACCATCTTAGCCCACATGGTGAAACCCCATCTCTACTGAAAGTATGAAAACTAGCTGGACATGGTGATGTGTATCTGTAATCTCAGCTACTTGGGAGGCTGAGGCAGGAGAATTGCTTGAACCAGGGAGTCAGAGGTTGCAGTGAGCTGAGATTGCGCCACTGTATTCCAACCTGGCAACCGAGTACGACCCCATCTCAAAAACAAACAAACAAAAATAATCAGGAAGGATAGAAGCAAATATTCAATATTCTTGGGCAGGAGGGTACTGATTGGGAGATCAAATTATGGATCTTTTTTTTTTTCTCCAACATTTCTGTTTCCTAATTGAACTCAGAGGTTCTCTGAAGCACAGTGCATAACCCTTTGGCATTAAGAAGCTACTCTGCTCTTCCTATGATGTAATAGAAAAGATGTGTTGGGGATGCATAGAAAGGTGGGCTTGTGGTAGGTTGGACATGCGGGGAGTAGAGAGTGAAGAGTTTGCTACCAACGCAGCAGAAAGAGGAATGGGAAGCCAGAGGGTGGGTTGCCTACCAGAGTTTTCACCTAGAAGAAGCATAAAGAAAGCTTATACCATACCTGGGCACCCTCCCTAGTGCCACTAGAGATATTCAGGGGACTGTCATGGAGGTTGGGGAAAAGATGATGTGGGACAGAAGGCTTTGACAGTTTCTCAAGAAATATTTCTAGTCGGCAAGTGAGAGATCCAGCTATTGATGTCGGTGGAAGCTGCCCTTTATTAACTCAGCTGGTCAGCGTGATCACAAACAATGACAAGTTGGCAGGTGTGCAAACCCCTGGATGTCTCTGCAAGAATTCTCACAGCATATGCATTCGGGTAAATACCAGGGCAAACACTTTGCATAATAAGGACAATAAGAGCTGATGCTTGGTGTCCAGCACTGCTCTCTATGTCTAAGTATACCAACTCATTTAAAACTTGCAGTCATTTCTGAGGTGGCCAATAGTTTTGCCTTTATATTACAGTTAAATTTTGCTCAAAGTCATAAACCTAGTGAAGGGACAAAGCTGGAATTCAAATAGCAGTTTGGCTCCAGAGTCAGAGCTCAAAACCATTACAGTATGCAGGTGACTTGTTTAAACAGAGCATTTTATCTCAAATACTGCCTAAACCTTAAGGCAAGCAAAGGGATTGGGAAGACTGGGTGATCTGAGTCTCCAGGACTCCACCTGGACTGAGAACCATGCCCATTCATGCTGCCACTCTGATGGCAAAACCATCCCCAGCAGGCACCATAACAACCGTTCTTCAGATGGGCATTATTATGATGGACATTACAGTACTGTAACTTCCTGGTCATAAATATCAAAATCCTTTAAAAATAATTCCATAGTTCTATCCTTTGAGGCGTGGGCTCCCAGACAGTCTTCAGTAGATGTGCAAGCCAAGAGGAAAATGCACATCTCTTCACCCAATAATCAAGTAAGGAGGCTTAGAAATTCAGAAGACAAAGGGGAGACACACCCCTGACCCCCATATTGTTCCCCACAACCCCGATATTAACTCACCAATTAAGTAGTCCCTAGCTGATTGTAGGAACACTGGAGAGAAGAGCTTCAGGCCATACACCATGTAACTGGGAGGGTGCCTGGCTTTGGCCCCTGTATCAAGAAGCAAAATAAGGCCACACAGCACACAAAAATAGACTGGTCTGCTATATGTTATGATTTGGTTGTGTCCCTAGAAAACAAACACAATTTCTGAATGGTACCTTTTATTTTGATTAAATGACAAAAACCTCATAGTCAATAACTTATGCCATATAACACGTTTTTCCCCGACCACCACAATTCATATACACAAAAAACAAAACAACAAACAAAGGAAAACGAAAAAAGTTTGATTCTTCTTCTGTCAAAGCAGAAAGAGACTATAAAAAACAAGTTATGGCTATCCATCTCAACAAGATTCAACTGGAAACTTAATTACCATCCTGAGAGAAAATGTAGATCTAATTCAATGCTTTCCCCAACAGTGAAACTTCCATTCATCTTGTTCATATTGAGTGCAAAACTAATTTAAACCACTATTTGCTCCACACTTGGGTGCCAATATTAATAAGAAACAGAATTATAATTTGTGGGCTTTAATTTCCTAGTATCTCAGAAAGCAAGACAATATGGGTACAAAGTTATACCTGCAGAAATTACACAAAATGTCTTAGTGTAGCAGAGTGGAATCATTCTGGTTATTTTTTCTTAAGTGTTATTTACACTATGTACATAGCATTTTCCCGTGAGGGGTATCAAATTTTTAGCAGACCTCATCTTATCCCTATACCTATTGTTACGAGGCAAAGTAAAAACATTTTTTATTCTTCTTGAATGGATAAAAAAATTAAGGAGCTTCATCATCATACAATGTCATATATAAGGAACATCATACAACATCAACTTTCCAGGAAAAAAGCCAATAAAAAATTTATATCTCACAAATCATTGCACAATTTATAAGATTCAGGGGAAAAACAATGAAAATGAATTGGGAAAAGTGTCTTTTGCAATTCATGAACTGCCTTGAGTGTAAAAAGTAAAAATTAAAGTGATATGGTTTCAGATGTGAATTTTTAAAGTCACTGCCATGAACATGTTATATTTAGAAATGCAATTTAAATCACCACTGCTTCTATAATAGAAATAGTACTATTCTGAGACCATCTTTTAAGAGGAAGGAAAACACAGGCTGTCCATGGAGGCTGGCTATGTTTGGCCCAGAGTCCAGGCTTAGTCTTGAAGAATACTTGTACTCTTATAAAATTTCCTTTTGAATCCAACTAGGTCATAGATTAATGGATATGAGAATCCTTTTGTTGCATTTTTTAAAATTGAATGTAAAGCCCAAGTTAAATCTAAATGCATTTCTCATCAAGTGAATGGCAAAATAAGTTTTTTGATATAAATAACAACAATGCAGTATACAAATATACATGCATATGAGACATTTTCTCAAACTGTTATGGTTTAGAAAATATAATTAAATAGCTACTTTCTACTTGCTCTGATTTGTTTTCTTTTATTAAAAGTTTAGAAATGCATTATTCTACAAATTAAAAGCCTTTGGCCTTTAACAAGTCTGAGATATTATTTTGAATCTTCCAAGTCAAACTTTACTGGGCATGGGAAGGTTTTCTTTGTATTTGTAATTTATGAAACAAAACTGAAGGCACCATTATAACGAGCCTGCCCTCATCACCATGTTCCTGCTTCACTACATTTTCCCAGCCTGTGTTTTGGGCCCCCAAACCATACTAAGAGCATTTTGCTAATACATGATACGTAAACCACTTCTTATTTATTTATTTTTTTTGAGGCAGAGTCCCACTCTGTCATTCAAGGCTAGAGTGCAGTGGTATGATCTCAGCTCACTGCAACCTCCGTCCCCTCGGCTCAAGTGATTCTCCTGCCTCAGCCTCCCAACTAGCTGGGACTACAGGTGCATGTCACCACGCCTGGCTAATTTTTCTGTATTTTTAGTAGAGATGGGGTTTCACTATGTTGGCCAGGCTGGTCTTGAACTCCTGACCTCAGATGAAATACTCAACCCCACCTCCCAAAGTGCTGGGATTACAGGTGTGAGTCACTGCACCTGGCTACTACTTCTATTTGCCTTGATTCCTGAGAACACCTACTAATAAAATATCCCTGCTCACCAGTTCCTACTTTCACATATGAATCAATCATAATATCTCCTAAGGACTGTTTAATTTTTTCAATAGACAAATTCTAGTAGCTCCACCCACTGAAGTCTGATCATAATCTTAAAAACTCATTTGACTCCATTTAACCTTAAAATACATTATGGGAAGCACCAGTGGAATTCAGCTGTGGAGCATCTTGTGAGTCTACTGCACAAAAGCAGATCTCTGCTCATTTGCATTTTCCATCAGCCCTACCTCCATATGCCATGACCCAAGTGCAGGTCTCAATGCAGAGGAAGAGCAAGGTGAGAGAAACTAACAAAATCTCCAGGTGCATGTGGCTAAGTGACGAAGCCATCCTAACTATCTCTTAGAGACAGTGGGATGGTCAACTGCTTCAAATGTTTTGTTGCTGTTGTGAAGGGGGAAGAAAGATTTTTATTGTAAGGGAGCTAGGGTGTCTGGGAAAACTTGTAGAGGTGTACAGCTTGGTCTCAAGGGGCATGACCTGAGGTCTGTGCACAGCCTGGCCAGGCTCCTCCATTCTCTCTCTCAGCTCTGCTGCATGTGCCAGCTCCAGGCTTCATTCCCCAGGGCAGAAGAGAGCCCCTGACACCTACTGAGTTGACACATGTTCCTGTCTCCCCCACATTCAGAGGTTCAGCAACTATTTTTTTTTTAAGAAAGGATCTTGCTTTGTTGCCCAGTCTGGAGTGCAGTGGCATGATCATAGCTTGCTACTGCTTCCCTCTCCTGACCAGCTACTCTTTTTTAAAACTGATATAAAACAACAACAGCCACAACAGCTAATGTTTGTCTGATCTTTCCTCTATCCCAGGCACTGAGTGTCCTATCTACTTCAAGTGTATTCATGTGGCTAACCTTCAGAGAACACCCTGAGAAGTACATACTACTCTCATTTTGACAAGAGTAAACTGAGACATAAGAATGAAGAAACACCCACAGAAAACAGCATGGCAGAGTAAGGCCTGGAACCCCATTTGCCTGGCTCCCCATAACAACCATGAGAGGCATGCATTTGGCACTGGATTCTCCAGACCCAAGGACTCAGCCTGATGTCACAAAATTTCATTCATAACCATCACTCTTTAAACACAGAATATGAACATTACTCATGTGAAGCAAATTTAGAGAATAAGGAGAGCATCCATGATAGCCTTCAGGTGTCAGTTTTTTCAAAGGACTCTGAGCAGAGAAAAGGCCTCCTTACGTGCAGATGGTGTAGAAAACCCAGACATTCTCTGCCCATTTCTCTGCTGTTGCCCTGTGACATTCCGCCCACATACACTGAACATTCATCACTGCAGCAAGGGCTTGCTATGTTTTACAGTTTCTCACAATGGTGTAGGTTAGTTTAATTAAACATTATTTTTTGGTGGCTGTTGATGATTTCTTTTTTATGTAATTTACCTTTAGCAGTTCACTTGTGCATTGAGAGCCATCCTAAATGCTCGTAATGCTCTTTGGTTCCCCTTGCATGTGAAGCAAATAAGGGCAGCTGGGGGTGGGCACCCATCACCCCACTGTGACCCTAGACAGCAACTATTTTATGATCCACACTTCGTATATACAAGAGAATCCAAAACATTTTAAAGAAAACAGTATGGAAGAGAAGCAGCAGCCAAGGGTTAAATAATTCTCAACAGGTTACTATAGAAATATTAAGATGCAACTTCAAATTAAATATAGCAGAAATATGATAGGTTATTTTAAAAATTGAAAAGAAACAGACAAATAAGATTCTTTAACTAGTTTATCATTTAATTCTACAGAACAATTTATGTTAGGTCCAACCTCCTAACATTCAGATCGGTGAACCCTGACAAAAAAGGCAAATGCAACCGTCCAGGCAAAAGGGCAGTGAAATGGGCATCAAAGTGTTCACCAAGTGCTGTCCAGGGTGCTCCATTCCGCTACCTCCGAGTTCACATATTTTCTCACTGTCTCAGTACTGCCCTCAAAGGCAGTGAAAGAGAGCAGAAAGAGTGGTGACCTACATTCTGCTTTTAATCAATAGTAGAATGTATCATTTGAAATGATTTGTTTTAAATAGTACTATTTTGAGCAAAGACACAATTGAATATTATTTGACAACTTTTAATCAAGATCCACTAAAACTAAGTTGGCCGTCTTATTTCTTAGGATTGAGCATTGAGAAATTACTTCATGTCATTCAAAAATCATTCCTCTGATAAACACTACATTAGCCAGGTGATCAAGGTCAACATCAACAGGGATAAGTCATATTGATAATTCGTATCACTGATGTGATGTGATCCATATAATATGTTACCTCTGTGGTCTTCCTCCTAAAATCCATAACCCCTATATTTTCATGAGATAAACATCAAAAAATCCCAACTGAGAAACAGTCTACAAAATACCTGACCAGTCCTCCTCAAAACTGTCAAGGTCATGAAAAACTATTAATATATCGCCAATCTATGTTCCTTGGACTTCTTCCAGTATCCATCTCACCCTATATATATTTTTTAAGTTTCTCAGAACTGTTTCCTTTTAGAATCAGACTAGTTTTTTTCAGGGTTAAGGAAAATCTAAGAAATTTTCACAGCCAAAAGGAGCCTACATGATTGCTATTATAATGTTATTTGGTGCCCTGGATGGGAACCTTAAACAGAAAAAGACATCAGGTAAAAAACAAAGAAATCTGAATAAAGTGTGGACTTTAATAATAATGTTATCGGCCAGGCATGGTTGCTCAAGCCTGTAATCCCAGCACTTTGGGAGGCCGAGGAGGGTGGATCACGAGGTCAAGAGATCGAGACCATCCTGGTCAACATGGTGACACCCGTCTCTACTCAAAATACAAAAAATTAGCTGGGCATGGTGGCGCGTGCCTGTAATCCCAGCTACTCAGGAGGCTGAGGCAGGAGAATTGCCTGAACCTAGGAGGCGGAGGTTGTGGTGAGCGGAGATCGCACCATTGCACTCCAGCCTGGGTAACAAGAGCAAAACTCCGTCTCAAAAAAAAAAAAAAAAAAAAATAATAATAATAATAATGTTATCAACATTGGTCCATTAATTGCAACAAATGTATCACACTGTGACTAATGTACAAGGTTAATACAGGGAATCTGGAAATGGGGAATACAGGCACTCTCTGTACCACCTTCCCAAGTTTTCTGCAGATTTAAAGCTATTCTAAAATAAAAGGTTTACTTACAAAAAATGATCCCCAATTATTTCAATATAACTGAGGTAGATACCAAGTGTCTTCACTGAATAGTAGCAACAGTTAATCGAACAGACTGCATAACAAGCTGTAGCCCTTGCTCTCTGGAGTTTGTACTGTAAAGAATCCAGACAAATATGTAAAGAGGAAGGAAACATTCACAGAGGGCTCAGTTTACTCTAGTTTACTCTAGAGCCTGCACCAGTATATTGCATACATTGCCTAGCACCCTCTTTATTAAATCTGACTGACATTATTCTGATTATGCATATTTTGCACACACACAAAAATGCTGCTAACAATTGCTTAGTGCTTCAGGGCCAGATGCTGGGCTACCACTCATTGTTTCACTCTCTTGCAATCCTGTTTTGTTATTCCTCTTTTGCAGATGAAACACCTTTGACTGAGAGAAGAAGTTTCCTAAGATCTCACATCTTATACATGGTAAGGCTGGATTCAGATATGAACCCTATATGCTTTCGGTTACTCCAATATTTCCCAATGTGTGATCTGAGATTACCTCCACCATAATGACCTGGGAGTGTGTAAAAATGCAGATTACCTACCGAGTGCTGCCCCAGCCAGTGGAGGGGAGGGGGGAATTGAGCTCCCCCTCTGGTTTGCGCAGGTGATCCTGGACACAGCGCTTTAGTTTTTCACTGCCTCTTGGATATTCTACTGAATTCTGCTTTCTGGATTAGCATTAGTGGTTACTGTCAGTTAGACCCATATGGAAATCTGTGTAAACAAATTAATATCTTCATTCCCCATTAATATATCGCCATCTATGATCCTTAAATTACAAAGTTTCAGTTAGACAGTATCCAACCTCTAATCGTTCTAAGCTCTCCCAGGCCTGTTTTCTTTCAGAATCAGACTAATTTCTTTTGAGCCCAGGGGCTACTGCATCATACCTATTGCCATGCCATTATTATTAATTCTGCATTTAAAATTCAAATACACGGAGTGTTATGCAAAAATTGTATTTTCATTTCACTATCTTCTGATTTTAACAACTTGCTCAAAATGTGCCACCTGTGCTCTTAGAAGCAGGCAAAGAAAAGAGGTCTGTCAATCATTCTAAGAGCAAAAATTGGCTGAATTATTAATAGCTACCCTCCACAAATGTGCAAAGTAGTGAAGTCTGAAAAGCAGTTTTGGTTCCTTTCACAGCCCCTTATGAATAAAAATTAGCAGCAGGCTTAAGAACTCTCTCTGTGTCCCATACCTGGGTTCCAACTCCTGACCATCTCCTTTCTAAAGCTTTCTCATCTACAAATGGGTGACAATAACTCTGTCTCCTAAATAGCCACATGGTTCAGTCAGATTGCAACAGGAAATATTTTACAGCCACCGTATTTTGTTTCTTCATTAGAAGTACTGGAGAAATGCCAACTCAAATCAGAGACTAATCTACTTAGAAATCTGTGTAAGCAAATTAATTACTGCAATAAACATAGTTAAATGTCTGACTATGTCTTACAAAAGTGATTTCTTACTGTCTCACTATGACATGCTTGCTCAGATAAAGGAATAGCAGCTTGGCTAATTCCTCTAGGAACTAAATAATATAACTCCAACCAAGAACAGTGACATAGGGGCCATAGTAACAGACACTACAAATGCACAAGGATTACGCAGCTGTACTTCCCTTCCACCTTTACTGGCATGCTCTGTATTATTTCTGAAAGGACATGCGGGAAAGGAATGTTTAACAGCATAGAACACCCCTCCCCAGAGTCATGCAGAAAAACAATGACACTGAAGTGCAGTTAGGAGCAAGGAGAGTAGACTGAAGCAGGAGAATGGTGACACGGCATCTCGGGTGGGCTTGAACAAAAAAGCTGCAAAGCTGTTCATCTCTCTCACACCACCTAACCCAGATTTCTTATGATAATCACAACAATACATCTCAATACCCTAATTATGCTGCTTCTACTTATCTTGACATTCAGACACTAGGATAAAAGAAGATGCATTACATGTAAACCAATTATGGGGAACAGAGGAATTTAACAAGATAGCAATGTATGCCATGTGATCGTCCAATTATAAGCTTGTCTTAATTACTATGAGCTAAACAGGAGCTATCACAGATTGAAAAATGGGTCCTAAATCCTGGATATAAATTTTTGAAAGCACAATAGAGGGAAAATCAAGCTTTCTTTCATTGGGAGGGTTTTCCACAGGCCACAGGAGATTGCCACAACAAAAGAAAGACAGTTGCTTAGCACTGTGGGGAGTCTACCCGGCAGTGAACTCAGTACAGAGGCATGTGGCCCAGATGCCTGCAAGGGGCACTGCCTGTCCCATAGCACCCACCCTGCAGGCCACCATGAATGTGCGAAGGGGCAGCAGGCTCAGAGGAAAGCACATGTGTGTGCTTCAGAGCTCACAAAATAATGCCAGATCACCAACAGATCAGCATAGGTGAGCTCAGAGTCTTAGTTATGAATTAGCTCAAAGTTACAGAGACGAAAAGGAATAATATATGTGAAAATGTGGAATAAAGAGAATGGTTTCATATAAAAAGAATAACAATTCAGGGAAATGCAAGTTAAAACCACAATGAGCTATCACCTCATGCCTGTTGCAATGGCTTTAATCAAAAAGACAAAGGATAACAAGAGTTGTCAAGGATTTGGAGAAAAGGAAACCCTTCTGTACTGCTGGTGGGTATGGAAATTGGTACAGCCATTATGGAGAACAGCATAATTTCTCAAAGTAAATTAAAAATAGAAGTTTTAATTCTATTTGAATATGATTCAGCAACCCCACTTCTGAATATATATCCAGAGGAAATGAAATCAGTATGTCCAAGAGATATCTGCATCATCATGTTCACTGCAACATTCTTCACAATAGCGAAGACACGGTATCAGCCTAAATGTCCATCAACAGATGAATGGAGAAAGAAGATGTGGTATATATATAATAGGAATATCATTCAGCCTAAAGAGAACACCATCCTGTCATTTGCAACAACACTGATGAATCTAGAGGACATTTATTAGGTTAAGCGAATTAAGTCAGGCACAAAAAGAAAAATACTGTAGGATGTCACTTATATGTGGAATCCAAAAAAGTCGAACTCATAGAAGACAAGAATAGAATAGTGGTTACCAGGAGGCAGTGGGATGAGGAATGAGGAAAGATTGGCTACAGGGTACAAAGTTTCAGCTGGACAGAAGGAAGGAGTTCTGAAGATCTTCTGTATAGTATGGTGACCACAGTTAATAATAATACACTGTTATACTCAAAAATCACTAAGAGAGTAGATTTTATTTTATTTTATTTTTTTGAGACAGAGTCTTGCTCTGTCACCCAGGCTGGAGTGCAGTGTCGCAATTGCCGCTCACTGCAACCTCCGCCTCTTGGGTTCAAGCAATTCTCCTGCCTCAGCCTCCCAAGTAGCTGGGACTACAGGCGTGCGCCACCACACTCGGCTAATTTTTTGTATTTTCAGTAAAGATGAGGTTTTACTGTGTTAGCCAGGATGGTCCCAATCTCCTGACCCTGTGATCCGCCTGCCTCAGCCTCCCAAAGTGCTGAGATTATAGGCGTGAGCCACCGCACCTGGCTGAGAGTAGATTTTAAATGTTCTCATCAGAAAAAAAAAAATAATATGTATATGTAGTTATAGATTTGTCAAACAGCTTGATTTAATAATTCTACACTATGTGCATATATCAAAACACCACCTGTATCCCATAAGTATATACAACAAATTTTAAAAATAAGAATAATGATTCATGCCCATATAATTATATCACTAATCATAAGAGCTAACATTTATGGAGCAGTCTCTGTCAGGCATTGTTATAGCACATTACATGGATTGTTTAATCCATGTAGGCATTTCCATTAGACTTTTTTAGACATAGGGAAACTTAGGCATGAAGATGCCCAGTATCTTGCTCATTGTCAAACATTCAAGTGGAGGAATCAGGACACAAAGACAGGCAGCCTGATGGCAATATATGCAGTCTTTCCGCCAGGCTGCTCAGTCTTTGCTGACTTGGATCCAGGAGGATAGGAAAGACTGCACACAGTCTCCACCCACTGCCCACACTTTCCCCCATACCACCCACACCATGCTCTCAGATCTAGCTGAAAGCTGTCTACCATGCACTTATAGATATATTTGATATTTCTATTTTATATTCAATATATAGAGCTAGGTACAGACTTCACCCTTTGACTAAATTTTGGCTTTTTCCCTGTCTTCAACACAGACAGACAAGAAAAACTACTTGCCCGTATTTGGAAACTTACGTGTATTGGTGAGGCAGGGTCAGGCTGAACACTCTAAAACACAAATCAGAAGTGTCTGTGTCATCATTTCATGATTTCAAGGCTACATTAGTGACAGCACACACTACTTGTAAGAATTAGATGTGGTCTTGCCTTTAGCAGAGAGTACTGGCAGCTGGCCATGACAAGGCAGAAGAGGAGCACCCACATATCTTTGCAAAAGCCTTGGCTCAAGGTCAGAAATCCAAGGAGGGAAACCAGGACAATGAGTAAAATTGCCAGCACATTCTCCTTGACATCTTCAGTTCTGTGCAAAATACACACATAAAAACAAACAAAAAAGTTAAGTTTTGCCATTTTTAAACAGAATGCCTTCATGTTTCCAAAAAAAAAAAAAAAAAACCATGACAACACAGTAGTTACCATAAGCAAGACTTTGTACATAGCCATGAGATTTTAAGGTTTCTCTCTCTCCTTATTCCTCATGCTACATAAAGAAAATCCAACTTAACACCAGATTTTTGTTATTGAAGCAAATAAAATCTCATCCCATTGGATCTCCTTGGGCACTAAACTGGGTTTACTTGCAAAACGTAATGACTCCATCCACAACCATGAAATGTGTTTCAGATAAACAGCTTCACTGGTTCCTTTCAATGCAAGGGGGTGTCGTAAGGGGATACATTCACACCTGGCCTAAGCAGAAAATTATTTCCAGATAAAACTTTTGGTGTCAGAGTTTACTGTCAAATTTCAGGAGCCAGGAGAGCTCCAGCAGGAGAGTTAAGGGTGAGTTGCAACTTCCTGACAGTGCAGAGGGCTGCCCTGGAGCGTGTTGGGTCCACACTGTCTCACTGGGTGACTCTCTTATGGACTCCCCATACAAGGTGTAGGGTAGAGACGGGGGTCATCCAGAGATGAAGTGTTATTAAGTGGGTATGCAAAGGACAACGTAAGGCGGTTTTAGGATATAGATAGGAAGGGGCTACAGGTCTGGATCATGTAACCCAGGTAGAATAGGGAGGAAACTGAAGATGGCAAGGGCTGCAAGATAAGAGAAATTCAGTGGGGCAAACTGCTGGAGAGGACTGGCAAACACTTGAGGGATTTAGAGAGACAGGGGAAGGATGAGCAGAAACAGGATTATAATGTCAGAGGTGAAAGACTTCTGTGAGAGGATAAGATGCACGGTGGGGCAGTGGAAAGCAGTGGCAGAAATAGAGTCACGGGGGATGGCAAAGACCACAAGGTCAGGGAACAAGGGGCCTGGGTGTTTAGATGGGTCATTCGCAAGGATTCTAAGTATACTTCTCACCTTACCAGTTTTTGCTCGTGTACCTGTTTTTCCACCCCACTAAGCTGATAAGTTTTTTAGACAGGAATAATTGGCTACTTTGTGCCTAGCAGGCAGGCAATTGTAAACATTTTTTTTAATTAATAGGCAATATTTTTGAGAGACATTTGTGATTCACAGCAAAATTGAGGAGAAAGTATAGAGTTCCCACATAGCGCCTTCCCACAGACACATGCACATAGCTTCCCCCACCATCAACATCCACTGATGAACCAAGAGTAACACCTCATTATCGATCAGTATCATCCAAGTCCATAGTTCACATTCGAGTTCACTCTTGGTGTTGTACATTGGGTTTTGCCAAATGTATAATGACATGTATCCACAAAATGGGAACTCTAGCGCAAGTTCCACTGCCCTAAAAATCTTCTGTCCCCCACCTATTCATTGCTCCCCCACCCTAACCCCTGCAACAACTGATCTTTTTATCGCCTCCTAGTTCTGCTTTTTCCAGAGGGCCATATAGTTGGAACCATACAGTATACAGCCTTTGCATATCGGCTTCTTTCTTTAAGTACTATGCATATAAGGTTCCTCCATGTCTTTATGGCTTGGTGCCTCACTTCTTTTTATTTCTTATAGCATCTCATTGCATGAAGATACCAGTTTGTTTATCCATTTGCCTTTTGAAGGATATCTTGATTGCTTCTGAGTTTTGGCAATTATAAATAAAGCTGTTGTAAACATTCATGTGGAGTGTTTTGCATGGATGTAAGTTTTCAAATCATTTGAGTAAACACCAAGGAGCACGATTGTTAGATCGTGTGGTAACAATATGTTTAGTTTTATAAGAAATTGCAGAATTGTCTTCTAAAGTAGCTGTACCATTTTGCATTCCCATCAGTAATGAATGAGAGTACTTACTCTACATCTTCCCCAGCATTTGGTGTTGTCGGTGGTTTGGATTTTGGCCATTCTAATTGGTTGTACTGGTATCTCATTATTGCTTTAATTTGCGATTGCCTAAGGACTATTACGTTGAGTGTCTTTCATCTGCTTATTTGTGATCTGTGTATCTTCTTTGGTGGGTGTTTAGGCCTTAAGCCCATTTTCAGGTTGTTCCTTTTTCTTACTGTTGAGTTTTAAGTGTTCTTTGTATACTGGATAACAATCCGTTAATTTATAAAATATTTTCTTCCATTCTGTGGAACATTTTTCAGTGAATAAAATAATGAGTGAAAAAGAACCCAAATCTAATGCTGACTCTTGATGCTTCAATAGCTAATGAAAATGAGAGAAATAGTAAAGAGAAAAATTTTGAAGAAATGCACAAATGCATGAATCATCTGATAGGTACATTTTACATGTAATTTCAGACAGATAATTATAGAGATGATTGATAGATATGCATATAGATTTCACATATTCAAAGAAATACAAAAATAAATGACTCTATTAAAATAAATCTGGAGCTGGGGCTGTCAAGAGGCATAGCCTTGGGCCTCTTACGCAGGAGGGACAGGAAACTCTGGAGACAACAGCCAGGAGAAGAAAAACAATGGGTGATTTGGTTGACTGAACTGCAGCTGACATATTACAGAATAATAAAAGTAGGGTATAAAGATGGCATCGAAATATATAGAAAAGCTAAGTTAACATTCAGATGGCATGAGGCTCAAGTTGAAAATTTTTTAAAAATCTGGAGGAACCAAAATACATTTGGCAAAAAGGAAATTGTGTGTGTCTTTTATTTTTCTACTGTGCACTTTTAATAGTGCTCAATATATTTGGTTTGTTCAAGTCTTTAAAATTCATGATGTGTTCTACAGTGTGCTCATAGCAATTTGATGTATACTTAAAAATATCTGAAGGCCTTGGAAATAAAATTTCACAGGAAAAAAAAATGTTTTTCACTTTGGGGAGGGAAAAAAATAAGGTTCCTAAAAAGTATTTTTCCTCCAAATTCTCCTCTGCGGAATTCCATTCCTTGCCCCCAGGCTCCCCTCTCGCCCACTCAGTTTCTTGTTTATCTATCATTAAACATTGGGTTAAAAAGTGTACTCACCAGGCCAAGAGTGACATGACTAAGGCTGTACTTTTGAAAGGTTTATCATGCAGAGGTTTACAATGTGTACTGGAGGAGAAAAAGACAAGAGCAAGGATAAATAGCACTTCCAGGAGAGGTAATGAGGGCCTGGGAAGCTCACATGGCAGGGGAATAGAAAGGGACCCCTAACTCGAGGACACAATTCAGAGTGAGGCTGAAAGAACTCCAGATGAATTATAAACAATGAAGCACTGATGGAAAGAATAAAGATTACTCCAAGACTTCAATCTGAGAAGAAAAGGATTATGGCAGAATCCATGGCAGAAATTAGGAAGGGGAGGCGATTTGCAAAGGAAAATTGATTTCTTCCTTCATGCAGCAAAAGCGCTCAGCACTGCCCTAGCTGCTTTGACTTCAGTGAGCAAAAGGGACGGGAGCTTCCTTTCTCGTGAGTGGTGCCAAAAGTAAGCATGCACAAAAAAAGTTCCGTAAATATACAATATGTAAATATAAATGCAACAGACAAAAAGAATAGAGGCTGGGCACGGTAGCTCATGCCTGTAATCCCAGCACTTTGGGAGGCCGAGGCGGGTAGATCGCCTGAGGTCAGGAGTTTGAGACAAGCCTGGCCAATCTGGTGAAACCCCGTCTTTACCAAAAATGCAAAAATTTGCTGGGCATTGTAGCAGGCACCTGTAATCCCAGCTACTCGGGAGGCTGAGGTAGGAGAATTGCTTGAACCTGGGAGGCAGAGGTTGCAGTGAGCCAAGACCACACCACTGCTCTCCAGTGTAAGTGAGTTGCCACTGCAAATGTCTGGGAGGCAAATGTTCCATGCTGCAGGAACTGCCAGTGCAAAGGTCTTAAGCTGGAGGCCTGCCTGGCATGGTTGAGAGACAAAAGGAAGGCCAGTGTGGATGAAGAAAAGTCCACAGGGATAGTGGGTGATGAGGCCAGAAAGCAAATTAGTGGCTACAGCATGGGGGACATGTGGGCACTGTGAGGACTTTGATTTTCATTCTGAGTGAAATGGGGAGCCATTGCTGGCCAGTCAGCAAAGCAGTGACGTTGAAAAGCCTTATTGTGTTGTGTTAAGAATAGTGTACAGAGGCTGAGCATAGTGAGTACCTGTGATCCCAGCTACTTGTGAGGCTGAGGTAGGAGGATTGCTTGAGCCCAGGAGTTTGTGACCAGCCTAGACAACATAGCAAGAAACCATCTAAAAAAAAAAAAAAGAAAAGAAGAAAAAAGAATACTATACAGATGGATAGAAGCAGGGAAGATGCTACTGCAGTAACCTGATGAGAGATGAAATGGCTCAGACCACATGGTCACATTAACACTGAAAAGATGCAATAGGTACATTTGGAAGGAACAGTGAAAGCAGCTTCCTAGAAGAGACTGAATGCAGATGTGAAAGGAAAGAAGACTCAAGGATGACTTCAAGATATTTAACCAGAGAAACTGGACAGATGGAGTTGTCATCACCTGAGATGGGGAAGACCATAAGTGAAGCATGCTGGGTGAGGCTGAGATGAAGAGTTCAGTCTCGGATATGAGACGTCATCCTGACACCATGAGATGTCAATCTGGTAGTTAGATATACAAGTCTGGAATTCAGGAGATGGGTCCAAGTTAGTGATATAAATCTGAGAGTCACTGGCATATTAAAAGCCATGAGACTGAATACCATCACCAAAGAAAATAGGGCAGAGAGAGAAAGAATGAAGATCAAGAGCTGTGTATCTACTGGAGACTTCAACCTTAAAGGGTCGGGAGGCAGAAAAACCTGTAAATCTTCCCTTCCTATGTAGGAGTGACTAGCAAAGCAGAAGGAAAACCAAGAGAACACTGAGTCCTGGAAACCAAGAGAACGTCTACCAAGAAATGAACTCTGCCAGATACTGTAAATGAGTCTACTATGTGAGAAGTAAAAGATGGAGTCAATAGTGACCCTGACAAGGGCAGGTTCAATGGAGTTTTGGGGTTAGGGGAGCCTGAATGGAACAGGATTATCAGAGCATAAGCGAAGAGCAAGTGGAATCAAGCACAGGCAACCCTTCAAGGAGTCTTGCTGCAAAGAGGAGCGGAGAAACAGGACAGTGGCTGGTAAGAAAGTGGGGTAAGACAGGATTTTTTTTTTAATACTTTAAAGTTCCGGGATACATGTGCAGAACGTGAAGGTTTGTTACATAGGTATACATGTCCATGGTGTTTTGCTGCACCTATCAACCCGTCATCGAGATTTTCAGCCCTGCATGTATTAGGTGTTTGTCCTAATGCTCTCTCTTCCCTTTCCCCCCTCCTCCAACAGGCCCTGGTGTGTGATGTTCCTCTCCCTGTGTTCATGTGTTCTCCTTGTTCAGCTCCCACTTAGGAGTGAGAACATGCGGTGTTCAATTTTCTGTTCGTGTGTTAGTTTGCTGAGAATTATGGTTTTTAGACAGGATTTTTTTTTTTTTTTTGAGATGGAGTTTTCACTCTTGTTACCCAGGCTAGAGTGCAATGGCGCGATCTCGGCTCACTGCAACCTCCGCCTCCTGGGTTCAGGCAATTCTCCTGCCTCAGCCTCCCAAGCAGAGGGGATCACAGGCACGCGCCACCATGCCCAGCTAATTTTTTGCACTTTTAGTAGAGATGGGGTTTCACCATGTTGGCCAGGATGGTCTCGATCTCTTGACCTCGTGATCCACCCGCCTCAGCCTCCCAAAGTGCTGGGATTACAGGCGTGAGCGACCGTGCCCAGCCCTAAGACGGGATTTTTAAGGATGAGAGCTATAAGTGTGTGTACTTATGATAACAATGATGACAGTTAGTTTTGTTTGAGAAGCATGAATGATTTCCTCTTTGTCACATAGCTAGCTACCTCTCATATTTTATCTCTCAGTTTGATTGTTTCCTCCTCAGAAAAGCCTTTGCCAACCACCAGTTCTAACATCAGTGCCCTTGCTTCCCCGGTCTCTCTATTTCAGGCCGTTATGTGTTTCTTTCATGGCACCTATTACACTTTTCTCTCCTCTCCCAGTAGAAAGTAAGTCCATGACAACAGAGACAATGGCTGTTTTATGCATTACTCTATATCCAATGCCCAGTACAGGTCCTAGCATGGAGTAGGTGATTTAATATTTGCTAAATGAATGAAATGTTGAAATGATGCAAGAAGGGCAACTTCTTATTTCAAATGCTGACCTGATCAACTAGATAACTGAATATAAACCCTCAGTGTTTTATAGGAAAGGGCAACGGCAAGATATGAAATAAGGGAAAATAAGTAAGGAGAATAGGAAAAGTCCAGAAACATCAGAGTAGATGGAGAACTGCAGGCAAATAGCAGGGACTGCAATGACAGGAACCATGAACCTGCTGCCCGAAGACTAAGAAAACATTTTCAAGGAAGAACAGCCTGACTCTAAGATTTAAGTTGAAGAATGTCAGGCAGAACGCCTTAATCTATGGGAGTTTACGGCAATGATTAGTGCATTTTCAGTGCTTGTTACCCACTGATTTCTTCTGCTTCCCTCCTAGCCCTTACATTTTGTTTTTATTGCACATATTCTGCATTTTTACCCAGCTTCCCAGATGATTCTGACTCACACTCCTGTTTGGGGATTATGCTCTCCTTGCAAAGGTCCCAAACAGCTCAGTTATTCCAGGTCAGTATTTTGAGTTTCTTTCTTCTTCCTTGCTGTGAGCTGTGAGTTCATGCAGTCCTTTTCCTTATTTTAATTGACTCTGAACTGTAAAACCAGATCACCAGTCCTGCTAACAGATGACTTTAGGTAGGTTTATATGGCTCTGAATAAGAAGTGATGTTGCCTCATTCTCAGCAAACCAACGCAGGAACAGAAACCCAAACGCTGAATGTTCTTACTCATAAGTGAGAGTTGAACAATGAGAACATATGGACACAGGGAGGGGAACATCACACACCAGGGCCTGCTGGGGGATGGGGGCGAGGGGAGGGAGAGCATTAGGGCAAACACCTAATACACGCGGGGCTTAAAACCCAGATGACAAGTTGATAGGTGCAGCAAACCACCATAGCACATGTATACCTACGTAACAAACCTGCACGCTCTGCACATGTAGAGCTTAAAACAAAATGTTTTAAAGTGATGTTGCCTATGAACCAATGGTCTAAATTTTAGTTTCTGAATTTGACAATATCTACTTTCACTGTCCCAATTTTATTTATTTATTTATTTTTCTTCTTTCTGGGATCTGGGCCACATTTCAAATAATAATAATAATAGCAACTAATATTTTAAGAACTCTTTCGATGACTAAATTGATTTAATCCTTACAACCTTTGTGTGGTATAGATGACATCCATTTAACAGATAGGAAACTGAGGCACTGAAAGATTTCTTAGCCATCCTAAGATCACAGCACTAATAAGTAGTGGGTACCGGGTTTAACTCCCAAGGTTGACTCCAGAGTCCAGGGATTCCCCACACCAGCTGAAGGATCTATGGATAAGGGAATGGTGCTATTTCTAGGTCATCCCTAAGCACAACATTTAAAAACTCACTGTGACTTGCCAGAAAGGTGATTGAAATAATAAAAACATAAGCTTTTAAAAGCAGCAGTCATCCTCATCATCCTTTTTAGACCGCCAATAAATTTCCATTTAATGTTCTATCACCAAGTAGATTTTAAAATACAAATCTATAGACATATTTGTTTTTGTTTTTGATATGAAGGGTTAATGCAAGCTAGACCAACTTTCAATAATTTATTTTTAGCAGAAAATAATTAATATTTTTAAATGCCTCATTTACCAGAATATACCATCTTGGATTATGAGTTAAGTATTAATCATTCCTCCTCATTGTGTGCCCCTTGGGTAACACAGTGTTGTTAGGAAAACCATTATAACTCCATTCCCTGACTTGTGGGTCCTGAAATTTACTGTTGTAGTTCTGCATGACGATAGTTTTTTTCATATGGGATCACACTATTTAAGACACTACTATAACAAGCAGTACTGAGGGACCAATAACAATAAGACAGGCAACCAGGTTTTCCACAGTCCCCAAGGGTTGGCATTAAACTGTGAAACTCAGCAATTGCTTACGCAAGCATGAGTAAATAGTATCTGAAATTTTCAAACCAACCTTCTAGTCCATGCTACTCAGCCCTTGAAAATCATAATACTGTTATGTGCACATTTTGAGGTAGGCAAAGATACAGATGACAAGCCCCTCTCCTTAAGCCCATTTCCATCATGGTTGGTTTTTGTTTTCGTTTTTTTAGATGAATTTTTGCTCTTGTTGCTCAGGCTGGAGTGCAGTGACACAATCTCGGCTCACTGCAGCCTCTACCTCCTGAATTCAAGTGATTCTCCAGCCTGAGCCTCTTGCGTAGCTGGGAATACAGGCATGAACCACCACACCCAGCTAATTTTTGTATTTTTAGTAGAGATGGGGATTCACCATGTTGGTCAGGCTGGTCTTGGACTCCTGACCTCAGGTGATCCACACACCTCAGCTTCCCCAACTGCTGGGATTACAGGTGTGAGCCACCATGCCCAGCCTCAATCATGTTTTAAGCAACCTTAACTTCTCCTCTTTCTCCCTACCCAGTAACCACAGCTCCTACCCCAAAACATTTTGCTATATGGGACAGTGGTTAAGAGAAAGTGAGAAAGAGGAAAGGAGTTTAAAAAAAAAATTAACATTCAAGTGAGAGTACATCAGACACAAGTGAACAATGAGGATCCAAGGTGTCCAGGGAAGAGGCAGAAATCACCCCACTTCATCTTCCCTCCTCTCCCCACGCCCACACCCAGTCAAGCCAGGCCCTCTGCTACAGATGGGGCCTCAAGCTTTCCTACAAAAATGGGGTAAGACATGAGTACACCAAAGTATGCTACTGTGCCCAAACGAACCTTAAATAGAAACCATTTCTTATTTCTTATTGTAACATATTATTTCTCATGATTTCTTATTAAATTTATTATTAATAAGAGTTACTTATTGTAACTCTCTTATTTCTCATTGTAACTGCTAAAGTACGATTTGTTGTCAGGATCTTATTTCTTTGACTTGGGTTCACGGCAAAGGAAGTGTACAACTTGAAAATGTGCAAGTGAAAATTTTGTCTTCGAAAGCACGCAGCGGGCACTGTCACGTCCCTGCTGTGCCTCCGACGGCGGATGCGCACACTCAGTGACTTACCGATCAAGTAACGCCAGCAAGGTCAGTCGATCGTACCAGACTTTAACCCACTTCCCAGGGAAGATGATAAATTTGTAAAACTGCTCTCGGTTAAATTTTCCTCGTGTTGAAGAACCTGACGAGTCTTCCAGATCCTGACTCACATGCTTTTAGATACCAAAAGAAACAACAGAAAAAAAGAGTTTCACGTTATCATGCCATGGCCACAAATATCCATACACCATAATTTAAAAATACAGAAAGCAGATGTTCAAATTCTGAAATGTAGACCAACATATTTCATTTAAAGTAAGTACTGTAAGAAGAGGATAATGATCAACAAAAAAGATTTTTCTTACCAACGTACTTCAATTCCTTTACAATGTACCATGAAAATCATGCTACTCACCACATCAAAACACTGCTACTCATTAAGGCCAAGAAACTGCTCTAAAAATAGTTCTTATGAAAGGTAAGAATTCAATAAAGATCTTAAATGACTTCACTTCTGAAAAGTGTGTTATTTAATGTTGAAATACATATTCAAATTTTACTAAGAGTAAAAATATTTTCACTGGAGAGATCTAGGTCATTGGAGAAGCCTACTATAAGAAAAACTGAAATATTTATTGAAAAAAAAAATCTAAATCATTAAACCTGAAATGTGGGAAAATTTAGGCCCAGATAGTAAAAGTTTTAATTCCTGATTCATCTGTGATTAGCTCTAATTCAGTAGAAAAAAAATTCAATTTTGAAAAAAAAACAATTGGCCTTCATTGATTTGTCTGTCAAATACTTAATGAGGGACTCTTTGGAGCCTGGCACAGGCTGGGAACAGGCAGTTTTCCATGCAGTCCCCTTAGTGAAGGTGCTGGTAATAGAATGTGTTTAGTTACACCACGCGCAATGGCTCATGCCTGTAATCCCAACACTTTGGGAGGCTGAGATGGGCGGATCACGAAGTCGGGAGTTCGAGACCAGCCTGGCTAACATGGTGAAACCCCGTCTGTACTAAAAATACAAAAATTGGCCAGGCATGGTGACACACACCTGTAAACCCAGCTACTCAGGAGACTGAGGCAGGAGAATGGCTTGAACCCAGGAGGTGGAGGATGTAGTGAGCTGAGATCGCACCACTGGGCAACAGAGCAAGACTCCCATTTCAAAAAAGAAAAAAAAAGGAATGTGGTTAGTTAATCCTAACAGTGAGGTCCCGGATGACCAAAAGAAAGAACAGAAATGATGACCTCACTGTTAGTATTAAGTAACAGTTGATCCTGTTAGGGGAGCCTCCTATTGGACATCCATCCCCCCTGTGTTTTGTCTCCAGTTCGCCACATACAGAGGCTGTTAGAACCGAAGCCCCCATACAGCTCCTCCTTCACTCTGTCTGACCACTTGGCTACTATCCTTAAGCCTTCTCTAGATGCCCTGGCCCCCTGCAGAGCTTCTGTTTCTAACCTCTATATAATTTTAATTGTGGTTAAAAAACAAATACTGGCCAGGTATGGTGGCTCATGCCTGTAATCCCAGCACTTAGGGCGGCCAAGGCAGGCAGATCACGAGGTTGGGAGTTCGGGACCAGCCTGACCAACATGGTGAAGTCCCATCTCTACTAAAAATACAAAAAAAAAAATTTAGCTGGGCACGGTGGTGGGTGCCTGTAATTCCAGCTACTTAGGAGGCTGAAGCAGGAGAATTGATTGAACCCGGGAGGTGAAGGTTGCAGTGAGCAGAGATTGTGCCATTGCATTTCAGCCTGGGCAACAGAGTGCAGCTGCATCTCAGAAAAAAAAAACACACACACACACAAATACCAAAAAATTTACCATCATAACCATTTTAAGTGTAAAGTTCAATAGTATTAATGATACTCACATGTTGTGCAACGGATGTCTGGAAGCTTTTTATCCTGCAAAATGAAACCCTGTGCCTGTTAAGCAACTCCCGCATTTACCCTCCCCCGGCCTCTGGTAGTCCTGATGAATGTGACTACTTTAGGCACCTCATGTAAGTGAGATTATATAGGTTCAATTATATAGATTATAAAGGTTCAAACCTTTTTGTGACTAGCTAATTTTGCTTGGGATAGTGTCCTCAAGCTTTATCCATGTTGTAGCATGTGTCAGAATTTTCTTTCTTTTTAAGGCAGGATAATACTCCTTGCATGTATGTATCACCTTTTGTTTAACCACTAATCTGTCAAGGGATATTTAAGTTGCTTCCACTCTTTGGCTATTGTGAATAGTGCGGCTATGAACACAGGTGTGCAAGTATCTCTTCGACCTCCTGCTTTCAATTCCTTTGGATATACCCTCAGAAATGGAATTGCTGGATTATTCTCATCTGCATTTTTGTTTGATTTTGCCCTGCATTTTTTCAACTTCAATTTAAGGTTCTGATTTCCTGTAGGCTGACAAACATAAGACACAGGAGATTAAAGAGAAGGGCAAAGACAAGAAAGGGATGAGTATGGGGACAAAGAGCAGCAGTGGAGGCGACATTGGCTTTTAAAGGACTCTCATATTTCTCTTTGGCTTCTAAAGCACAAGGTTATACATGGGCCGACTGCACAGCTATTTTCCTAATTTAGGGGAAGTCACTGATGTGAAAGTGCCTGGCATGCATGGGGGCAGTGCAGCTGCTTCATTAGAGGCCACTGCAAAACTCTCTGAGAAAGCAAATTTTACCATCTCTCCATTTCCAGATGCTAATCTGCTTAACTCAGCCTATGGAAAATGGAGTTATCCCAGATATCAAATATTAATGCAAAAGGCATCTGAAGGGAAAGTTGATCCATCATGAAGGGAATATACAGGGATGAGTTGGACTGAATAACAGGAAAGTTGAGATTGTGAGTGCTACTTGTGCCTGGAATTCTATTTCAACACAGAAGAGAGCTTCGCGGAAACTGCCTGGTGTCATCTCAGCAGGAACAGCTTCTTTGCATAATGATGAACTTGTGATTTATAGTAAACCTCCCCCCACAAGGAAGTCCTTTTCCTTGAAGCCACATGGACAAAGAGTGTAAATAAGAATGAGGTGCACAGGAGCCCATGGTTACTGTCCTTGTTATGTCAGAATCCATGTATGACGCATAAACAGGTCAACGGTAAGCTACAGCTAAAATGACAGCGTTCCTTCCAATGGAAGAAAAATCCCTTCAAAAAGTGAGGTTTCATATTATACCCTCAGCTGTCAGGAAAGGTCAGTATATTAAAAATTACATGAAGACTATGCCTGCATCATTTTTAAAACTTAAAGATTCCAGCATACTGTGCTGATTATTGCTGCTTAAATGAAAATCCTTGCTTTAATTAAAAAAAAAAACCTCCTCAAAAATTAATGAAAAAAAGAAATAATTTGATTTCTTTTATGAGAAAAAAAAGTTTCATGAAATTTTCTTTTTTGCCTTCGATCTGAAAGAAGCCCAAAGCTATATGTTTTGGTGAATTGCAGCAATTATTCCTGGCCTGTTTTCTGGTACCAAATTCAAAATCAAATATTTCCCATCATTTTAATATCATTCATGTTTTTACTCATCAAACAAAATAGTTATTGTGTAGGTTATATAAACCAAATACTCTATGTAATATGTGTTGAAAATTGAAAACATAACGAGAGGGTTGCTACCTTACAGGGGTTTAGACTTTCTGGGAATAGGCAAGCAAACCAGTCATGGTACCATCGTCACACATGCATAAACATATCTACGTCTGTATCTATCTATGGAGAGAGAGTGAGAGAGAAGGGAGTCATGAGAGAATGTAGGATGGCCATCCCGGGAGAGCGCATGGAGTAAAGGGGTCCTTGGTAGTCCCTGGAGTACATCAACAATTAAGCTTACAATTAAGCTTGCATAAGTGAGGACCCACCATGGAGTCTGAGAAGGAGTTTCAGATCTATGACTTTTATCTTTCACTCTAAGTGGCCTAAATAATGAAAAAATGAATGCATAAACAAATGAACAAAAAATTATGTTTATGTCTCTGACTCATTAAGCCTTGCCAAAGAATAATTATGTTGCATTGCCCAGTAAGTTGGGCCTGCAAGTTTAATCCCATTGTTCTGAGAAAGAGCTTGGGAAAAGGGAGGAGGAAGGAAAGGATAAAAGTTGAGCTTAAGTTCTTTTTAAAAAACAAGATAATTGCATTTACACATACTCCCTATATGGATTAGTGTTTATAGCATAATATCCAAGTTTTATTTAATGAATCTGAATTATCAAGAAGAACTTACATTATTATCAGTATATTCTTCTTAAGAAGGCAGGGAAGTATAGTGCACATTTGAAAAATGTTTTTGGTGCAATTTTTGAAATCTAGGAATAAAAGACTACTCCTTCTGAGATACCTGAGAAATTCTACTGTCCAAATAATGCTATTTCAAGAGTTCCAGATAACTAATACAAATTTTTGATGATATCAGTAATTGCCACCAACTAGTAAAGTCACAATTTTGCCACATATTATCTCTAATCCTTAAAAGCTCACAATAGCTCAGTTTCCTAAAAGAAAGTGAGGCTCTAAGACATTAGGTCACTGGTCCAAGGTCCTAGATTAGGAAGAGATTTGTGCTCTTTCTACAATAATGCTTAAGGGGACCCAGGTGAATCAACACCTCAAGCAGTGCTCATCAGTAAAGAGAAAGCCACTTTCACAGCAAAACAAATAGAGTTCAAGATATAATACATATAGTCCAACTGTGAAAGAACAAGTTAACAACATAAATTTGAAAAGGAAACTAGATCATGGAAACTGGCAAAAGTAAGATAAGGAATAATGGGTTACAAATGTTATGTAAAACGAACTTAAAGTCAGATTTGTGATTTTTAGAATGAACCACATCAAATAAAAACTAAAATAGATATTAGTCCCTGTTATGTGAAAGAGAGTAAGTGATCAGCTCTACAGAACCTCCCCAAAGTCAGAACAGGCACAGATGGATTTAAATTATTGGCCTCTTTTTTGAGGGGGATGGATATTGAAAATAGAGGTTCTGAGCTTCCCAAAAGGTTTTTACCTGAAAGGACAGGGGAAAGGGAGAAGGAGTAGAAGACTGAAGAGTAGACAGAAGAAACAGTGGTCCTTTGGGGAACTATGTGTAACTCCTAAGAGCTATCAAGCTCAGCACTAGGACAGCAGGGTTGGTAGGGCCTCTGTTTGGT